TGCCGCATTCGCGCAGCGTGCCCAGCGCGCCCAGCACCATGTCCCTACACCCATGGCCGGTCAGCCCGGTCTTACCGCCCGTCTCCAGCCGTACGCCCCACCTGGTGCCAGAAACCGGCAGGCATCACGGCCTCAGTCACTCCGCCACGGTGACCACGACATCGCAGTCGGCCACCAGGCTCACTTCGCAGGCCGGCATGGGTGGGCTAGGCAACAGCCAAGGCTCGGATACGTCGGCGCACAGCTGAGTCTCGTCTTTGCAGCCGCAGCACTCGTACTAAGGCCCCTCGCCGGTTTTGCGCGCGATCACGCCACGTGGCCGTGCCCAAGGATTGCCAATCGGTGCTGGCCTGTTGCCGACAGGATGTATCACAATTGATACAGTATTGCCGGGAATATGATCGCGCTACGATTGGCTGTAGACTTGCTCTTCGCACAAACGAATGTGAGAACTCTCGTCTAGAGCAGTGTATCCTCGTCCGCGTCAGCTACTTGGCGGTCCGCTGTAATCCGCATCTAATCGCTGAATTTAATCAGTGGTTCGCACGAACTCTCGTTGATACTTTTAGCAGGCAATTAGCATTTTAGGAAAAGCGGCTTTAATAATATAAGCTTGCTTCTAGTTTGAAAACAATTGCCACAAGAGGGATATAGATTCTCAAGTAAGAGATTGAACATCATTTAGACAACTTTTAATTAGTCTGCCATATTTAAGGTGGTGCATGAGATAAAATGAGATGTCTATCTCATTCTTAAGTAATCCGCCATATTCAGGACGGTGATCCAATCTCATACTTAAGGATCTGTAGAGAAAGGTAGAGATCCTCAAGTAAGAGATGTGCGAACTTTGTAAGAACATGGCGACTTCCACACACATATGACACATAATGGAGGTCGCCATGTTCTTGCAAATGCTCGAAGTTTGCGCATCTTTTACTTAAGGATCTCTAGAGAAAGGCGCTATCTAACAACGAATTCTTCAAGCAGGTTTGTAAATTAGTTCGTATACGTACAAATTTCCCACGATACCACCGCGTAATCCTCCTCACGATTGATAACTCTTTTGTAAGTTTCAAAGTAAAGCAGTTTAAAGTCCCTTAATTGCGCGGAGCAAAAGTTTCATATGGAACAACATTGTTAAAGTTCGCAACTTAAAAATATACATGTCGAGTAACTGTCGAGGATACATTAAGCACTAAGCGAGAGTTCTGCGTCAGCCGGGTCGATCGGACACGGCCGTTTGTTTCCGCGTGCGAAACTCGTCTAACGATGGACCTTCTTGCGTTCCGCGCGTACCTTCGAGCCCCTCCTCGAAAAGTCGTCCAATTAGAATGGCGCGGCAAGCGATCGTAAGAGGATTCGTAAAAAATTATCTCTGCATTCATTCTCTTTGCGCACAGATTCTTCAATTATCTGACTTTCCTGTTTTCCATAAAGAATCGCGTCGTCTCTCGACTCTTTTGATCGCCTACTTTTGTCGATCCCTTCCAACTCCCGACACTTTCACTCGCCAATTTTGGGTAAAAGTATGCGATCAAGGAAAGATCGTGAAGGAAAATTGAGGATGGTCGGGAAAAAAAAAAGAAATTTCATATGTTCAATCGAGCGATTCCGGACAAACAGTGAAGGAGGGAATCCCTGGGGTACGCGCGGCTTCTTCCATTGGCTGCGCGCTGCTCCCCTGCCCAACTTGCGTGCCTGAATAACTGTTTTCTTAATAATTAAATGTACATTCGACACACAGGAAACTTCACCTTGTATCTCTGTATACCTCGTGAAGCGCGAACAGGCATAACGTGCGTATACAGGAAGCGCGTGTGCGGACAAGAACTGGCCCGAAGGTAACCCAAGCTGGCTCTTAAAGCCTCGCGCTTAAGGTACAACCGTCCATTTGCCTTCCCTCCCCCTATTCTCCCCCTGACGGTAAATACGCTTAAAGGGTTGTCATTAAAGGATTGTATTCGTACTTCATGTCTAGAGGTAACTAGAACTAAACTGAAATCGAACGGTTCTTAGCCCGAGGTAATATAACGTCCTCACATATTCGGTTTCGGACGAAAGGCTGGATGTTGCCGGCCTGCGCAAATCACAATTTCTATAAGTATTTGAGCGGTTTGTCGAACTCGCGAGTTGCGCTCTGTTTGCGTTAATCAAGAACGGAGATCGCGGGTCGAGTCGCGCTTAAATGGGAAAAAAAAAAAGGAAAACTGACTCACACAGGATCGCGTGGTCGCGTCTTGTCTAAATAGCCGGGCATGTGATACCGATTTTACCTAACCCGTGAATTGCCTTCAGCTACATATTGTCGCACGCGTGTTATACATTCCTTCTCCTCTCTATTATTTTTTCATCGGAAGCTCCATCCCTCCCGGTCTGCCTGCGTCGGCAAAACGTCGCTAAATTCGACAACAAGTTGACTCATTCGTACAAAGCGACGCGTTCTTACGTTCTGAGTTGTGTATATCCTATTCCTTAGGACGGCGCCTGATGACGCGCTTTAAGGGCCGGCGAGAAAAATCCGAAGGGTGTCTAGAAAACGTATTTAGAGAGAGAATGCAAAGTGATCTTATCCGCTTTAACGTCCGTAGGTTATATAGAATATTATATTGTTAGATGTATACTTGTACATGGCGCACGGGTACAAAAAAAGGCGGCTACGTTTCCACTGAAGGGAGGGAGGGAGGGAAGGGGAAAGGGAATGTTGAAGATTTTTTTACAGTGGAACCGCGACCGCGCGGGGTTGGCGCGGCGCGGCGCGACGCGAGGGGTAGGCTTAATTAAAAGGATCGACCAGAACAATGGGGGAAACTAATTATTGCCAACGATTTCTCGTTCAGAGGTGTTCACCAGGCTTCCTTTTTCACCGTTGCTAATTGTCGCGTTTAAATACGCTTGTATTAATTTACGATCGCTCACGTATATGGAAAATAATGTAGATTATGTGAGAGCACCTGTCGCTTTCCTCATAATTATCGCTGTTAATATTTCCTCTCTCTCTCTCTTATTATTGTATTCCCTTGTTTATAGTAATTTTGTACATGTATACTATTTCACATTTAACATTATTTCATTCACACATAAACACGTTATTTATTTTTATTATTAGATATATATATTTTTTCTTATTTTTATATATATTATTCATTTTTTATTTTCTATTTTTTTATTGTTATATATGTTTTTTTATATCTTATTAGTTTAAATGTTAGTTTTTAGCGCTTCAGAGGATGATGTCCTAGAGCGCTTGATAAATAAAACTTTTTTATTTTTATTTATTTATTTGTACATTTTCTTTCGATTATCTGTATATTTATATATTTCTTAAAGGATTTGTCCTAGAAGCCCTAGAATAATAATCGCCTTATTTGTTTATTTTTATTTATTTTTCTGTCTTTTTTTCTCTTCATCAACTTAGGTAGCATAAAACATTGTAATGTTTAATATTACAGGAATGTTCCATGCTATCTGGAATCTATTTATATATCTATTTATTTTTCTCTCTCCATCTTTCTTTTTATCTCTCGTTGGAAACGACCAACTAAACTCGTAAACCTTTGACGTCTACTCGGCAAAAGAGAAGCGTTGAATAAGGAAGCTTGGAGGAAGCACTGATGATGTCCAGAAAGACGTCCCGGGAGGGACACGAAAGCGAACTCATGATCGCGCAATTTCGAAATCCGAAGAATCTGGAGCCAAGATCTGGATTTATCGAGAGTGACGCGATTCGTATCCCTTCCGGCATGTAATGTTTGCTGTATTTAACAGCGTTTATTCTTTCCGACGCAATATTTGTCCCGAAGATGTTCAGATCTCGACGTATCGGCACGACGGTGTCTTTTGCAAGCGCAACCGCAGGCGACAACCGAGATTTTATCGGGGCTCTGCGAGGCGAGCTCGAGCGGCTCTCTCTCATCTCTTCAGCGCATTCGAAATTAAAACATAGAACACTGCTAAAAATTAATTTATCAGTTATCATTTACAGAAAACAAAACGAGTATCGAGAGTTAACGTATATATTTATTCGTAAAACGAAATACGTTTTGAAATTGAGTGTTTAAAGAAATACAAATTTAAAGAGAAACAAGTTTAAAAATTGTTGAGAAACGTTTACGAGAAGTGATTCAGTTCAATCGAATAATCTGATTTCCACTTCGTCCTGTTTAATTGAAATTTACTTTTCAGTTGCTAATTAATGCGACATAAAATTCTCAAATTTAGTTAACGTTAATCTTATTGCCTATCAATGAATTTTGCAGAAGAGAAATGAGAAAGATCGGTCAAGCCAACCTTCATCCTCGGCCGTTCACAAAGAAAAGCTCACGCGGAAAAAGCTCATTAACGCGGATAAAGTTGGGACCTGGTTTGTCTTGTCCGTCATCGTTTCATTTCGAAAACGTAGTTTCGCGGCTAATCGCAATGCGAAACGGGACCAAAACAGACACAATTTTCACGACGTTCTCATACTGTCCCTTTTTCTCTTTCCTCTTCTTTTTCCTCTTTTCCTTCTTTTCTCACAGTTGAACAAATTTTTCATCCAGATAAAAGAGGTGAGTAAGAGATGAAAAATTTTAAAAAGTAGATCAGTAATTAAAAATACTTACTCTAACCTTCAATAGATCGCTAATTTATTCAGATATATAAAAATGCTTTCCTTATTTAACAATGACAGATATTTTATTTGATAAACGAAGAATTTATATGATTTCATTACTTAATTAATTTTCTTATTTTTATTATTTTGTTATTTTAATAATAATTTATTAAGAATTAAAGTAATTTATTTGAGAATAATCTTTTAATGGCTATTACATGCATTAACATAACATAAGAATTTGTAGAAATTCTTCTTTCGTCATGAAAAACAAATTTTGCCATCTTAACACACTTTTATCACGTTTCTATTTAATCTTATATCTTTTATTTGCTCGACTTGATTTCACACCGAAAGATATCGAATCATTTATTCGGAGACACAAATAAAAGATTCATTCGAAAGCTTTCTTGTGTAATTGATAACTTGAGTTAAATCGGAAAATATTTCATGTATAACTTTTTTAATTTTTTTACTGAAAAGGAAAGCCGTCTGTGTTTTCACAAAATGTATTTTTAGAATTTTTCTTTTTAGTTTAGAATTTTAATATTTTTAGTTCGAAGAGAATATCTTGTCCGTGTAAAAATACAATGGTCGCTTATTCGACCTCTCTATCTGAATGAAGTTTTCAATCCGAGTAGTATCGAACTCCGCTTTCTTTCTTCCATTTATCTCTAATTCTCTATGGATTGTTTTTTCATGGATCTTTTTCTTCTTTCTTCATCTCTCCTCGTTTCTTATCTTATCTCGGCATCCTTGTTC